AGCATGACTGAGCGCCTAATTAATAAACCTTAGGAGGTCGACCACGCTTTCGACCACGCAGAGGAGTCGTTGTCAGATGCTGATGAACGACATAATTTGCAACACTGGCTTCGCTTTCCAGGTCCGATTCTGTTCCAGCCGGGAAACTGCAACAGCACAAATTTTACCCGGAGAGTGAATGTCGCAAATGGCATAATTTCGGCTACGGCTCGCCTTTTTTCACCGAATCTGAGAAAATCCAAGAACAATGCTCCGTTTCTTCGCTTGATACCACACTATGCACAACGTGAACCTTATTAAAACCAGAAACGTAAAAAGCATTTGCTTTTTTGCATAGTGTTACAATGTAAGAAAAATCAGTGACTCTCACTATGTGATACGATTTTATAAAGAAGTGATTAACAACTTCGGCTAGGTGCTTAAAATTATACAGCCGTAGTTTATAAACGAATATTTATTGAAATGCTGTAGGAAGGCAGTGGTCCGGGAGCATACACAGTGGCAGTTGCAATTCCGTTAGTACTTCCTTTAATGATATCGAGAACTTTAGATCGAAACGTAGCTCATGATATTGACTTTTTGCTCGATTAACTAAGAAAGCATGCACAAACCCGGGTGAATCGACCGTCTTTTCTGGATATAACTGAGGATGCTTTCCATCTTCAAATGGTTTCTTTGCTGCTTCAAGGATACTTCGACACAAACATTTGATATCGTCGTCTGTTACTTCCTGAAAATTTATAACAGTTGTATCACACGAAAATCGCGACTGTCTGACCACCATCGTCAGCTTTTGTCGTGTTGGGAATAATGCAGAAATCAACAGGACAATCTGTATGTCAGGGATGCATAAGTGGATGCTTTTTTTGCTTTTTTAAGTTCCTGTACTATGAATCAACGAATCAAGGCTATCTTGCCCACCAAACTATAGCAGCGAATGAAAATATGCAACCAAAAGGGTGCGTAGTTTAACTACGCACTGATTTATTTCTTTGGATTCAAATTCAAATTGATGTTTTGGATCAAACACAGCAAGCTACATGCCAGAATTTTTAGGAGTTTAATTTATCAAAAAATAATTATTAAAACCCAGACCACGTTGAAAGTACCAAAGATCAAACTTAAATGTCCTGGCTCGGCTTACTTTTAATTTTATCAAACTGGTTTAAAGTAATAATTACTGGATTCCATAAATATTATTTCACTTATAAATAGATGGTAATACAAAGACGGGGTAAAAATATGTGAAATATGTGAAAAATAGATGTGAGAAATAAACCACACCAGTCCATTCCTTCGCAGATTTTCCAGTGCCGGTGAAAAAGTAGTCCTGATATGTCTCTCAATAATCTGTCGAAATTCATCAGTGATCTCCGACTGGAAAACCTATAAGCATACATAGAACCGCAAACTCTCTTCACTGAGCCCACGTAGTAGTTTCGGAAAAACAGGAAATTTATATAAATTATTTCCCTAGACATTTTATGAATTACGTTTAGAATAAAGAAATTTTACCCATGTCGAGTTAAACTAACAAACACAGATCTTTTGGGCAAATATTGGGCCTCAAAATGCTAACTATGCAGATCTAAGCGACACCGACCAAAAAAAACCAATTACAACTTGGCTTACTGCATGCTGTTACAGTGGTAAAATTTCATCGGAAAAAAAAACATTTTTTTAAATTTTGAAACAAAGATTTCTGCCCCACGTTTGATATTCAATAATTAAGGTTAAAAGAAAAATGTATGAATGATCATGGAAAAATATAAGAAAGGATTATAGAAAAGATAAGAAAGGAAGGATGTGAAAAAGAAGTATAAAATTAACTGATCTCGACTGTTAAGGAAATTTTTTGTCGGGATCTTTTCAACTGCTGGTGGGCTTTATCACTGTAATGAGAGGTGCTGCTGCTGCCCTACAAAAAGTCTGTGGTTCGACTCCGTCAATGTTACAGCCAGTCCCTCTACGATTCGTTCATTCACTGGTGAACTGAAGTTTCATCGGAAAAAAAAAACATTTTTTTAAATTTTAAAACAAAGATTTGGTTCGACTCCGCCAATGTTACAGCCAGTCCCTCTACGATTCGTTCATTCACTGGTGAACTGAAGTTTCATCGGAAAAAAAAAACATTTTTTTAAATTTTAAAACAAAGATTTGGTTCGACTCCGCCAATGTTACAGCCAGTCCCTCTACGATTCGTTCATTCACTGGTGAACTGAAGTTTCATCGAAAAAAAAAAACGATGATTATAGCGTATGCTATAATAATCAATAGCAACAACTAAAATGAATATCAAAATCACTGTATTTAGTCAAACCCAACCATCAGCTTGCTTCTAGTCGATCTTCGGGAAGAATGTCATCGACAGCTCTCTATCTCCCGGCGGGTGAACGGTCGTTGCTGGCACGTCGTGCTGCTTACACAGAGGAGAGCTTTGACATGCAATGTAAATATAGCCATTTTGATTTTCATTTTAGTTATTGCTTTTGATTATTATAGCATATGCTACTCTCAGTGCTCACTACTCACTAATTAATAACAATAATTAGGGCATTATGCATTGCCATTCAAATTTCTGATGTGTCACGGTCGGGCAAAGAGTGATGCAGCAGCAGCAGCAGCGATACCTGTCGCATCAAATCGAGCGATCGCGCAGCATCGTCGGCCATATCGCTTTTATTCCTCCTGATCGTCTGCTTCAACGAATTCACTTTTGCGTTCGTTCCCTCACCCAACGAGGCCAACAAACCCTCGAGGATCTCTAGGCGCAAATTCATCTTGTTCCCATTACCGTTCCCGGTACTCGTACCCTCGAACATTCTTCAC